ACACTAAAGGAGCTACAAACTATACCTTTGAATATGGTAATCGTTTCTGCTTTACTTGCTAATTACTACTTATATTAAACTGTTTGGAACTGCTATAATATATGACGCCATCGTCCCACCCCGGTTGTCTAGTAAGCAGTAAGTCAATGGGCTGAGCAAGGCTAGCCTATTATATAGCTTTGTGCTATCCAATAAACAAACAAAAAATATTGTAATGGCACACGCGACATCTATTATTTTTTCTTTGCTGTCGTCATCAGACTACAAGTTCACAAGTATAAATCTCGATTATAGAATTTTCCCTTTAGCAAGTAGAGAGAATTTGTACTGAATATTTTAATTGTGTAAACAAAATTGTGTAAATTCGAATCCCCGTCACACCAAACATGCTCGCCCTTTCAGCCGTGGGGGCGTTATAACGTGCCGGTCAATTCCACTATTCGTTGGTAAAAGAGTAGCCCAAGAGTTGGCGGTGGGTGGTGATGACTAGCTTCCTTCCCATTAGTCTTACACTGCTAAATTAGGGACGGTTAGCGCAGATAGCCCTCGTGTAGCATTGCGCGAAATTCAAAACAAACAAACAAATCATTACGGCTATTTTTAATAATCTACTTGTAAAACAATCTTCGTTAGTTATACATAGAATCTTTAAATCTCAGATATTTCACTTACTGTAACTTGAAACACCATAAGAAATAACTAATCTTGTTGATAATTTAAAACCATAAATCGAAAGTTCCTTTATTATTTTTGAACTAATTATGTCGATATAATTTCTATGCGATACGTATTCTCTTTCAGTATGCCCAGTTCACTCAGCAACGGAAGTGATACAACCGAAGTGTGGTTGTGATGGGTGTGTGACCCCTAACCCAAATGATTGCTCAGCTTATTATCGTTGCAAAAGTGGTGTCCGTGAGTTGCTCTACTGTACACCTGGGCTAAACTTTAGTATAGCCACTAAAGCCTGTGATACTCCTAAAAACGTCCGTTGTTGGAACTATCACTGCTATACCCTTGAGGGAATGTTCAAAAATGAGTTTGACTGTGGGAGCTTCTGGCATTGTTCAAACGGAATCCCTTACCTTAAGGACTGTCCAGCCAACTTACACTGGAGCGTAGAAAAAAACAGGTGTGAGTGGCCGTGTGTCGCGAAATGCGATCCTTCTGTTCCACGTGAGTATGTTAATATAGAAAAGCATAATTATTAAATATAATATTTTTAAGGATCATTTCCATAGAAATAGCTTTACTACTTACCTTCATGGCTTACTGGTAAGTCTTAATATAAATGAAAAAAATGCCAAACAGCTAAACCAGAGACCAAATAAAATACTCAAAATATTCCATGATTAAATACTTTTGAAATTTTAGGAACTAGAAAATATAAACATCTCCAAATCAGCCTTAACTTAAATTTGTACCACTTGTTATTAAACTGACATGAATATAAACATCTCCAAATCAGCCTTAACTTCAGTTTGTACCACTTGTTATTAAACTGACATAAATATAAACATCTCCAAATCAGCCTTAACTTCAATTTGTACCACTTGTTATTAAACTGACATAAATATAAACATCTCCAAATCAGCCTTAACTTCAATTTGTACCACTTGTTATTAAACTGACATAAATATAAACATCTCCAAATCAGCCTTAACTTCAATTTGTACCACTTGTTATTAAATTGACATAAATATAAACATCTCCAAATCAGCCTTAACTTCAATTTGTACCACTTGTTATAAAATTGACATGAAAATATTTCGGATTTACAATCATGTTGGCTTTCCCTGTATGGTCATTTCAGCTTGTCCAACCGATCCGACATCAGATCCCTGTGGCTGCAACGGATGCCTAACTCCTCATCCCTTCAACTGTTCAGCTTATTACCGTTGTAAAGATGGACGTCGAAAATTGATCTTCTGTCCCTCTGGTCTTTATTTTAACAAAGATACCAAAGTATGTGATCATCCAAAAAACGTTCGCTGTTGGGACTTTGTTTGTCCAGCGCAGAACGGAATGTTCAAAAATGTATTTGACTGTGGGAGTTTCTGGCATTGTTCAAACGGAATCCCTTACCTTAAGGACTGTCCAGCCAACTTACACTGGAGCGTAGAAAGAAACAGGTGTGAGTGGCCGTGTGTTGCCAAATGCGATCCATCTGTTCCACGTGAGTATCTTAACAGAGAAGTAAAATTGGTTAATATAATATCTCAAAGACCACACATCCATTGCTGTTTTGTGGCAAACATATTTATATACTGTTAACTTTATTACTTACCTCCATTGCTTACTGGTAAATCTTAATAAAAACGAAAAAAGAAGAACACTAGGAAACAACTACAATATAAACTAGATAAAAACTAAGATACTCAAAATCTTCCATGATTTAACTTTTAGTGTTTTAGAAACTGGAAAATGTAAGCGTCTACAAATCAACCTTAACTTCCAAGTGTGCCACTTTTTGTTTTATTAGATTCACATGACAATATTTACAGTGATGTTTGCTTTCAATATGTGGTTATTTCAGCTTGTCCAACCGATCCAACACCAGATCCTTGTGGCTGCAACGGATGCCTAACTCCTCACCCCTTCAACTGTTCAGCTTATTACCGTTGTAAAGATGGACGTCGAGAATTGATATTCTGTCCCTCTGGTCTTTATTTTAACAAAGATACCAAAGTATGTGATCATCCAAACAACGTTCGCTGTTGGTACTTTATTTGTCCAGCGCAGAACGGAATGTTCAAAAATGTATTTGACTGTGGGAGTTTCTGGCATTGTTCAAACGGAATCCCTTACCTTAAGGACTGTCCAGCCAACTTACACTGGAGCGTAGAAAGAAACAGGTGTGAGTGGCCGTGTGTTGCCAAATGCGATCCTTCTGTTACACGTGAGTATGTTACTGGAGAAGTAAAACCGTTTAAGATAATATTTTAAGTATCATATATCCATTGCTGCTACAGGACAGAATCATCTACATACTATTCCTATGACCACGTAGGAATAAGTTTTAATATAAATACAAAGACAAAAAAAAATGTTTCAACCAGTTACGCTAGAAATTAGATAAAACCCAAATTACTCA